TCCTGATTCATGTTCTGACATAAGTTTCTTCCTGGTTCTGGTTCTGAAGGAGGTTTCTTTCTGGTTCTGGTTCTGAAGGAGGCTTCCTTTCTGTTCAAAGGGTTTTTTCTCCCCACAGTCACCACGTGCATGCTCAGGATTTGAAGTTTTATTTCAAACTACTGGTTTTTCTTTTTTGACTGGCTCTGTGTGGATTGGATGGATTTGGAATTGAATTGTCTTAGAGTGAATCGAGCTCTGATTGGCTTTTGAAGCGCCTGGAGATGATGTTTATTTCTGATTGGCTGCTTTTGAACTGCAGAAGAGACTGACCTCCGTCGTCGAACAGCCACCACACGTCGATGGTGCCCTTGCCCTGCTTCTTCTTGAACTGCTGGCTGGTGTCCAGCAGGCGCTGGTCAGCCAGGCTCAGCGGGGATTTGGTTTCTGCGGCTGGGGGGGGTTGATAACGTCACAAACAGCTCAAAAGGTGAGAAACCCCCCGGGAAACCTGCCCCCGGAGCGGCCGGCTGCTCCGGATTTACCTCGGATGATGAGCGGGCTGCTCTGGCTGCTGGTGGTTTTGGAGGGGCAGGAGTCGGAGTCCGGGTCTTTTGCCGGACCGACGGATATCAACACGTCTTTGCTGCCCACCGGAGGCTTTTCCTGGGACGACAGCAGCTCGTCTGCAGGAAAACACAAACCGCTCTGAGCCTGCCAGCTGAAAACTACTGCTCCAAACATGTCTCCACCCCAGGAAGTCCTGCTTTCTGACTTCTTATTTCACCTGGATACATTCATTTTTGTCAACAGGCCAACCATGCTAGCGAAACAACCCTATTAGCTTCTAGGGGGGGTCCAAAGCCTTGACTTTGGATAGTTAAAATGACCCATAGATTTAAAAATAAATGTGGGACATAAGAATAAATCAAGCTGAAATGATGAGCTGTGGCAGGTCTTTTTGAAGCATGATCACATGGAAATTGTTCAACTGGCTAACGTGTACCCATCATTAGCGAGGATGAGGATGCTAATGGTGTCATGGCATCAAAAAGAAGGTATAGGGAGGAGGAAAACATAAGAAAAAAGAGACAGCTAAAGGTGTTAAAGGTGAGGCATTAATCGTGATGTAGGTTGGATTTGGGGAGTTTCTTAAAAAGTTTAGATTAGATTCAATCAGATTAGATCAAGTGAAATTATATTATGTTAAATCAGATCAGATTAGATTAGATAAAATAAGATAAAACGAGATCAGATCAGATCAGATCAGATTAGATTAGATTAGATTAGATCAGATCAGATCAGATCAGATTGGATAGGATAAGATTAGATTAAATTAGATCAAGTGAGATTAGATCAGATTAGATTAGATCAAATTCGATTAGATTAGATTAGATTAGATCAGATCAGATCAGATATAACTTTCTGGATCCCTTTTGAAGGGTTAGAGTTCTCATTACAGCACAAACAGAGTACAAACAAGTAAGAACAGAGCAGGATAAGCGGACCTGGTCCTTGGATGTGAGAGACGTCCAGTCCGTCCTGGAGTCGGAGGATCACGACTCCAAACTGCAGGTCAAAGGCGTCACTGGGGGGCAGAAACTGTGATTAAACACTCAAACCGACCACTAAATTTTTTTTTCTTATGCTAGCTGTGCTGTCTCATCTCAGACTGGCTTCACAGCCGAGCTCCTTCCTCCTTCAGCGTGATGAGAAGTTGCAAAAAAAAATACAAATATGAAATGGAATCTCCACTGAAGGCATTCAAAGGTACCTGAATCTGTCCAGGTTTATTGTTTATTGTTAAAAAGATCCCTGTTAGCCGTCACCAGAAGGGGGACGAGCTCGTGTTCTTGGGCTCCACAAGACAAAACAAAAATCCCTTAATTCAACATTGTAGACAATATTATAGATGTAATCAGAGATCATCCGAGGAAGTTATTACTTTCATATCTATTAATTCTCACTTTCATACAGTAAATATGTTCTTTCACTCCTCGCAAATTTAAATAGTGCGTTCTCAAGTAATAATTAAAAGACACTTTACTATTCTGTTTACATTAATTCGGTGGGCAACTATTCCAATAACTGATGGAGGATAAGGAACTGTTCTCTTTAAGGCTTTTGATTTTGGACATGGTGACATCATCTGACCACCGTTAGCCGGCCTGCTCACATAAGAATGAACCCCATCACGTCTGACCATTAGGTTATGGAAGAAAACAGGGAGAAAGGAATAGACAGAGTTTCTAAAAAATGTTGTTTTGCGACCAAACCTGTTCTCTAGCTTTAACCAGGATGGTGTTTGTTCTAATGGAACGAGGTAAAAACACCTTCACCCAGCAGATGACACCCGGCTAGACCCCATCAGGACCCTTTAAAACCCCCCCGCAGCCCCTAATTCACCCGATCCGCTGAGCACATCTGAGCCGCGGGTTTCCAGTTGATTTAGTAACTCTGTGAGGGTGGGAAACACCAGAGGGGGGGGGGGGTCAGGCTGTGTGGAGGACGGGGAAGGTCCAAACAGCGGCTGGAGACCGGCTGGGCTTGGGGCTCAGCAGAAGCTCACAAACAGCCCGCCTCCCCCCAAAAAACCGGCTCAGTCTGGAGAACCAGTCCCAGTTCAGCCCGTACGGAGAAATGTAAGCAAGAGGTTTGAAGCAGCCGGGTTGGGTTTCAGGAAGAGAGGTGAGAGTAAATAAGCAGGAGGCAGCTCCTCTTCCACAGAGAGCCGTCTCATCTGGGAGTTTCAATGTTTTTCTCTTCCTGAATCTGCTTTGTGAAGCAAGCTGATTCAAGGAAGAAGTCTTTATTCTACCAACAAATAATAGATGTCTAACTATTGCTAATAGAAAATTAACCAAAACATTATTAATATAAATTATCTTAAGAAAATATTTTACAAATAAGTGTTTTTTAACAGTGCGAAGAGATTTGAAATAAAAAATATTAAATTTGTAAAAAAGTTTCCAATTTTTTTTTTTCTTATTTTTAGTATAATTAATTATTTCCATCAATAAATAAACTATGTATAACTATTGCAAATAGAAAATGAACATAATTTATATTAATTATATTTAAGAAAATATTTTACAAATAAGTGTTTTTTAACAGTGAAGAGATTTGAAATAAAAAATCACAAAATTTACAAAATATTTCCACAAATTCATTTTCATATTTTTCATATAACAAATAATTTCTGCCAATAAATAATATATGTCCAACTATTGCTAATTGAAAATGAAACAATAAATTATTTCTATTAATTATTTTAAAATAATTAATAATAATAATAATAATAATAATAATAATAATAATAATAATAAAAATATTTTACAAATAAGTGAACTAACAACATATTCATGTGATGTTTGATATAAAAGCAGATGCATTTTAATGCAATGCAAGCATTTTACTAAACTGTAACTTTATTATTGTTTTAAGTTATATTAATAAGGCCTGTGAGGCTGGTTTATGCACATTGAATACAAATATGTCCCTCTGATATCATACCACACCCTCCGGTGAAGTATGAGGGATTTTGGCCCTGCATGGAGCCTCTCAGGCTGAATTCAGACGCCGAACAGGCTGAAACCTGCAGCCACTCACTGGATGGTGTTGATGTAATTCTCCACATCCCTCATGTCCCCGTCGCTCCAGTTGTTTTTGAAACCCATCACCAGAGTATTCGGCTTCAGGCGGCCCAGGCCAACAGCCTGAGGGGAAAGGGGGAAGACTTTGATATTATTATATTATAGAGAGGCTGATTTATTCTGGCTGAAAGCTCAGATCAACATGATGCTGAGCTGTGTTGGAGTTGAATCCTTTCTTCTTCTTTTTTTTTTTAATTAATCTCTTTTTTTAAATCCTTTTTATTAAAAAAATACGATGGAACAAAATTTTAAATATTCATACTATTTGAGCAATAGACAACAAAGAAAGTGCAACTCATAGACACCTAATAATTTAACAACAAGATATTGTCTTTGATTGAATTGAAAGAACTATTTAAAACTTTTTTTTTTAACAAATAAGTGTTTTTTAACACTGACAAGAGATTTGAAATAAAAAATCACAAAATTTAAAAAAACATTTCCAAAAAATAAGTTGTCATCATAAATCATTTCCACCAATAAATAATATATGTATAGCTCATGCTAATGGAAAATTAACCAATACATAATGTATATTCATTTATTTTAAGAAAATATTTTACAAATAAGTAGTTTTAACAGTGAGAAGAGATTTAAAATAAAAAAATCCCAAACTTTGAAAAAATATTTCTGCAAAATTATCTTCTTTTTTTTCATATAATAAATCCTTTCTGCCAATAAACAATATAGGTCTAACCATTTCTTATAGAAAATAACCAATACATTATCTATATTTATAATTTTAAAGAAAATATTTTAATATTAACAATGAGAAGAGATTTTAAATCATGAAAATCTCAAAATCTACAAAATATTTACTCAAATTAATTTTCTTTGTTTCCATATAATAAATTATTTCTACCAATAAATAATATGTATCTAGCTATTGCTAATAGAAGGTTAACCCATACATTATTTATATTAAGTTCTTTATCTAAAAAAAATCCAAAAAGTAGTATCCCATCATCTTGTTCTATGTTATATTTTGCTATTCCATTGAAAGGTTTGTTCCATTATTTGGTTTCTGCAGGTTCTTTCATTCCTTTCAGTCCTAATAAGCTCCACATTTGTCAGATTGTAAATCATGCATGAGTGAATCCCCCTGGGGGGCTCTCACCTGGAGGAGCAGCTGGGCTCCTTGTCTCTGGTTGTCAGCGAACACGGCGGCGTAAAAAGCCTTGATGCGTTTTTTGCTGAGCCAGCGCTGGCAGCGGGCGTAGTCCTGGGACAGCTCCTTGTAATTGGGCCGGCGGTGGACCTGGGGAGGGGCAGCGGCGGGTTGGACCGGGCCGGGGA